TTGGAACTGTGTTTTTCAGTTTAAATATCCAAGACTAACAAGAGTTCCTAATAAACACCGCCATGTTCTGAGCTTCATCCACCATTAAAAACTGCCTGAAAAACACCATCTTCGAAGCTGAGATAAAATCTCTTTTTCTAAACTTACGAACTCTTAGCTCCCACACCACAAGCCTCAAAAATCAAGATCAATTTTGATCCACTAAAGCAAGCCTCCTATGCCACTAATACCTGAAGGAGTCATTCATCTCTAGGGCATTCCTTAAAATTGACATATCCTTTCGGAATGTTTTGGGGCCTCGTGCCAGAAACTCATAAAAGGGGAACTAGAGCTCTTTACAGCAGTCCACCAGGCCCAGTTCAGCTCTCAACTAAAAAAGCTTCCCACAATATGCAGGGAACCCTATTTTTTTCCAAAATCCCAGCTATCTATTTATTCACTGCTTATTGCAAGATCCTTTCATCATGAACTTTCATTATTTACAGGAAATACAGTAAGGAAATGCTATGTTTATTTATTTATCATAAGCATAGAAAAAGAAGAAAATTAACTCTGAATGAGCCCCACGAATTCCCACATTTCACGGAAAGAAAATGGGTCTTGAGAAGGGGCCATATGAAAACGAATTAATAGAAAAAGAAGAAAACTAACTCTGAATTATATGGAATGATATATTCTGACCTTGAACCATTGCAATTCTCTCTGCATTTGCAACGCTGCTCCTGAGATATTATCGAGCTTTGCCAATGGCGATAACATCGCTGCCATATGTAGCATGTTACTGTTAGAGGTATCTCCAAGATTTCCAATCACATTTCTTTCTGTTTTATCGAGTCTATAAATCAGGCTATAAATCCTTTCTTGACGACATTCAATGGCAAACTGCAAGGGGTTTCTTTGATTTTGATTATTGCTCCACACGAGATCTGGACTTGCTTGGAATATACGATCAATAAACTCGAAAACCCCTAGCTCGACAGCTTGGAAAATGGCTCCACCACATAAATCTTCCATGTCTATACCATCCAAATGTTTTATCACTTCACACATGTGATCTAGAAGTCCAAGGGATTGAGAATGGATCAATTTTATTTCACGTATGCGGTTGATTCCTAGGTTATCATTGAAAAAAAAAAAAAAAACACAAAAACACAAAAACAAAAGTCATTTAAATCCTTCAAGAAAAATTGAATTTTAAAACCATTGATGGAGAAAAGAAAAACGACAAGTGGTAAAGAATGTAGCATACCCAATAGTTCAAGGAGATTCGTGATCAGACCTTGCAATATACGTAGCACTGCAATAGAAGTTCAAAATCCAAAATATGATGGAGAAATATATGCCATAACAAAATGTAAAAAACGAAAGAAAAATTACATATTTTGTTTGAACATTAGCTCACATGAAAAGTTCCCTAATAGGTGCAAGGAATATTTTCATACAGAAACGGATGAGAATATGAGTAGGATCGACTATGAACCAAATATCCAATAATTTAAGAATATTGTGAGAGCATCTCCAAGATCTACACAATTTTTTTTACCTGTACTGGAGCAACATGGCGGTTACCATCATTCCTTTGTTTTTGTTTTTGGGAAAAGCGATATAGTTTATTGATGATGGAGGTAACAAGTACAAAAAAATTGATTGGTCCTTGGCAGATTAGGCAAGCCTCTCTACACATAAGGGTTCGGTCATTGGATTAACCAAGTAGCCTATATTCTCTTTCGGCATAGACGTCAGAGAGAACCTTAATGTCCAAGGGAGATGATCCCTTTTTATTTGCTCTCTTTGCTATGAGCCCCCAAATAAGCTAGCTGGCCTGTGGGCATGTAGGATTTGAACTTTCTTTTTTAACAAATTGACGTACCCAAGTAAATCTAGTGGAGCATAATGTGCCACCCAACCCATCTGTTATGCTCAAATTTTAATTTAAGTAATAGAAATTAGTGTACTATGTAATTTAAACCTAAGAAAATAATATATACTATGTCGATTTGTATCACGACTTGTAAATTTTTGGATCTGCCACAGAAAGTGATACAGAGAATGTAACCCCTGTTTTTCAGGAACACATCAACTGATATGCGTCTAGCGCTTCAAGCGGAAGCTAGTTTTCATCAAAAAAATTCAACTTGTAACCCCTATTTGACATGGTTGATTTTTGTAGGGTCAGAACAACCTTTTTTGGACTTCAATTTTACAATAATTTTAAAAGTTTTAGAACCTAAAGTCTAAGCAATGAATGGTCGACCATCAAGATTTTTCCCTGCCGGCAGCTGCATCTGTTGTGCAAGATGGAAGAAAGTCTTGCTGGGAGCTGGATACTATGGACAATACTCCGCTCCTCATATATACAAGGAGGAAGTCCTCCCTAAATGTAATGTGTGGCCTTGAATATTTTGTGGTACTTAGAAATTAGTTTATAAAAGCCTTAAAGTCGGCTGACTTCTTTCTTCCTCCTTTGAATGGCACTGCTTGTATTTTTTATTTTTTATTTTTTTGAGAAAGATAATTCATTCATATAACCAAAAGCGTACACAGAGTGACATAATATAGTAGTCTCTTTAAAACCTTCCTAGGAAAATCACATGGGACAAACCCCAGAAGAGGGAAGAGTACCACACATGTCATGGACTAATAAAAGAGCCCGATTCAGGTCACTTTGGACCATTGCAATAAAGAAACAAAGCAAAAGTGAAACCCAACACAGACGAGAACACAGCAACACATCCCGACTGTCCAAAGAATCCTACTATGAAACCATAGAACTTTGTACAACCACAGAATAGTGAAAGCACTTGACATAGAGCACTCCAAGAGAGACTCCAATAATGACAGAAGAGGAACCCCACGGAAGCATACCAGCTCAATCCAAAACCCACCAAAGAAAACCAGAAGTCTTCGATTAGCGCTACAAAGAGATAATATGCATAAGACAACTCAAAAGAAGAAACAAAACATAACGAACATGCCAAGAAAAGAAAAAACTGAAGAAAAAAAAACCCTCAAGAGGCACTCCGTGTCATCGCAACACGGCAAGGAAATCTCCTATGGAAATACCATAGTCCTTTAGGCAGGCGAAGAATCAAAAGGTATGCTGAGAGAGATAACAACATAGAAAAACGTCACGCCACAAGAAAACAAAACTGGCCTCAGCCACTTAACGTGAAACCAGATGTCAGGTATGAATGCATTCACCAGATGCCAAGCCCACTAATGCTCCATATAAACATTAAGGAAGGCTCTCAGGATACCCCACTAAACCAGTCTCCAAATGCTTATAAGAACATGCAGCATTGCAGGGACGCTTAGGATCCACGAAGTCTACCCTAAGAACCAAGACATCACTATCAACGGACGCCACAACTGTATCTTATGCTTAACTCTCATTTTAACAGAAGCACTGCGGGAAGCCTCCCATTTTTTGGGTCTCCTGTAACCCATCTTGGTTGGAATACTTGCAGAAAACTGGATAATAGGCATAAGGTTGAAAGGATCAAAGAGTACCGAATCCATATGAGTGGGAGTAACCACTGAAGGACCAATGTGATTGCCAATCACTAGAGTCGCTCGTATACAGGGAAGAACCACAGTGGAAACTCCTAACGTCGAAACATTTGGATATAATGCAAAAAACAACGGAGAACAAGTAGCATCATCAGAAGATCCAACATGGCAACGAAGAGACTCGATCCCCTCAAGTACAGTGGGGCGACGTGGCAGAGACGGGAAGGAGAGAGAATCCTCAAGGTCATTCCGATCCAAGAAGACGATTGCCAAGACCGAGCATCCAAACTACGACGGTCACCCGGGCCATCATTATTCCAAATACCATCCTAACTTGAGGAATGACTGGGGCTCTTATAAGAAGGTGAATTGTCGAGTAGCGGTGTGCCAAAGTACCAATAGATTTACCCTGTAAATTGGTGTCACCCTCTAAATCAACAAAAATAGAGGCAAACTTGAAAAACAAATTCGGATTGAGGAGCCCATGAATAATTTCATACTTTGCAATACACACCTAAGTAGGATGACGGATTATGACGCACACAAAACAATATTTAGGAAGATATTTATACCTAAACTCCACCATTTTCTCTCCCACCTCGAAAAGGTAACTAGTCTCCATCGAAGAAGAGGTTGTGTGATGTCAAACCACACGAATACTAATAAAAGGCCCTACACAATCAATACCATCACGATTATCCACCCAAAGAACTTTCGCTGGCCCCAATTGCTTTAGCAATGGCGACAGTCATACAAAAACGAGGAACACCATGGAGCTGAACCCAAAAGTGCTATATGACACAGACATAGAATGCATAATCCCATCATCCAGGAGGTCTGCTAACAAAAAGGCTTTAAACCCCCCGGGCCCCCATACAAGGGCCTCTTTTTTTTTTTTATCATAATCACAAACAAAGCGCACCCAAAAGCTGTTGGAGTCCATTTCCTTGATAGAGACATTTGCAGAGCCTTTCCAGAGTTGTGAGAAGAGGTTATGATGAACCTATTGCGATTAATAGGTTGATCTGTAAGGACCTTACCTTACCTACAAGACCATAAATGAATCCAACAAAACTATCGAAAGTATTAGAAGAACAAATAATCACACCAACTTGTCCACGTGGCATGAGAACCAATTGGCTCCCAAAGGACAATTCAATATCAGTGACGGTAGCATCACGATTAGAGGCTGGAGAAGACATAGAGACAATGGCAGGAGCTAAAAGGAGACCAACCCCAGTCGCAAGTAAAAAACCACCAAAAACCCCCAAGACTCTACTGAAAACACGAGGGGAGGTAATGGCGCGAGAGAAAGCCAACACGAGCGCACTAGACCCAAGTGTACCGAGAGAGCGTGGAGGATCAAATGATACTAGGGCAATGACAACGATGGGATAAGGAGAGGAGGGCAATCGTGATGATGGCAGTTGGCTGAAGAGACAAATACCAAAACCTAAATCTAAACCCTAACCCTATACCGAAGACACATGTCCCTCGTCACGTGCGAGAGAGAATCTTTGAATGGCACTGCAGGTTCAAATAGAAAAGTTCTTTAACTTTAGTTCTAGGACTCCGATTGTGTTGACCAATAATACTTTCGGCTTTAATTACTAAGAGAAATATTTAAAGATGGATGAACATAACAAGGTCATCCTTCATTGTGTGACTGTACGCGGCATGCTAGCACCGTAAGAAGTGGTTGTGGGTGCAAAAAGAGTGATTAGCGACTTGATCTTGACTTTGTCAAACATTTGGGGCCGAGTTAGGAACGAGTTCTTGGCAGTTTGGTTTTTTTGTCTTGATAACAAGACTTTTCAGGCTCGTTTGGTAGGGGGGCTATCATGGATTGGATTAAATATTGGTATTGTCTTGAATTGGCTTGGCTTGGCATAAGCTGGATAACACTTATACAGCATTTGGTGTATTTTTGATTGGACTATGACTTTTTTTCTTTTTTTTGGAAAAGTAAGAGTTTTTAAATATTTTTTTGACTTTTCTTCTCTCTCCATCTCTTTCTTCCTCTTTGCATCTCGTTTTTTATTTTTTGGACAAACCTCTCTGCATCTCTTTCTTCTTCTTCCCCTCTACATATCTTTCATCTTCTTCTTCTCCATTTTCTCTCCTTTTCTTCTGTCTACTTTTCTTTTTTTTTTTTCAAAAATTTTCTCCAATCTTCTCTGTCTTCTTCTAAAATTTTCTCTCCTCTTCTTCTCCATTTTCTTTCTTCTTCTCAATTTTTTTTCAAAAAATTTATCTCATCTCTTCTTCTCCATTTTCTCTCCTCCTCTTTGTTTTGTTTTTCAAAATTTTTATGTTCTCTCCTCTTCCTCTTCTATTCTGTCTTCTCCTTCTTGGGTGGTTGTGGCTGGTGGTCGTGGCAGGTGGTCGTATCTGGTGGTTGGGGATGGTGCTTGTAGCTGCCGCTTGGTGGGTCTTTGGTTGTAGGGCGATTGGGTGCGGTTGCTAGTTGCTTGGGTCATCGAGACTGTTAGTCCCTCCTCTCCAGACGAGTTTCGCTAAGAACACCTAAGGAGGTGTTTTTGGTGGGCCCAACATTAGTTAATCCCACTTCAAATTAGAACCAGGTGAAACAAACGTGGGATAAAACTTTAGCCAAGCCAGTCCAAGCTTGCACGGTGTAACAAACACGCCCTTCGAGTTGTGTTTTGGAGCTATTGTGCTTAGCTGCTTTGTCTTCTTAGAGGCTTTTTGAAAACAAAATTGAATCATGAAAAGCTCTAACAAAATGGATTGGATGGTGTTCAAAACAAATTATGTTAAGAACAG